GATCGCCTCAAATTTAAAGCTAGTTTTTTGTTTATTTTGATTTTTTAATTTATTCAAAAAAATTTTTTAGTCTCAGATCCCATTTTCCTAGCAAACCTCCCATATATAAAGATTGAGCAGAGAGGCCAGACATTTTTGATTTTAACTATTCAGGTGACTTATTTCTAATGAAGAATGAGACGAAAGGAGAAGCAATATGGCAAAATGTATCTTTAAAGCCAAAAATGTACTCAGTCCTTCCGGCTGGATATGATCCTAAAACTCCCGATGATCCAGATTCTGAAGACCCTAAAAAGAAGCATAGCATCCAAAAGGCAAAGAGTGTAAAGAAATGCGTGGTTAAAAGTGAGCTTCGACATGACAAATTTCTAGAATGTCTCAGAACTAGAAAGCTAACCTGATATAATATGTATGGGCTCTGCAGTTATGATCATCAAATATATCTGGAGAGGATAAATAAGATAGGATTAAATCCCTATGATAACAAGCGCTGGATTTTACTTGATAGAATTTGAACTCTCCCATATAATCATTGGCGAATTGGGCTATATAAGCGCTTGATAGCATCTGAAGTATCTTCTGAGGAAGCAGAAGAAAGGGCTATGAAAGCTAAACTTCGTGTCAAGACATAGATGTTTTATAACAAATATTTTTTCGGATAAAAAATTCTGCTAGTGCCTTATTTTTTCTGATTGAAAATCTTTGAATCGTATAAAATGCATACAGTTAATTTACTTGATCAGCTTATACCGGAACTAATACCATTTATTCTAAAAATCCTTCGATACAGGATCTTAAAAAATGTTGTACTATAAATAATATATGGAAAGATGAGACGCTTCGAGAAATTCACAAAAGATTGATAGTGGACTGTACATTTGTTGATAATAAAGTAACTGTTATGGTAATAATTGATCCTAAATCCTACTATAGCAGTATTAGTAAGGCACTTGTCAAAAAAATGGATTTATATATTTCTAGGGAAGAAGGATCTGGATTTCCTGCAGTACAAAGACTTGGAGTCAGTGTAACAAATGCTGGGAAGAAAGTGATGATAAGAGGATAGCTTCAAAGGAAAAAAGTTTCTGTTACTTTGCCAAATATCTTTGATGAGTTAGAACCCCCTTCGTATTTGGGAATAGATACAGAAACTTTCGCAGTTGTTGATAAGCCTGAATATGATTTGGTTTTAGGTAATAATTGGCTAATTTGGTTGGGGAAAAAAATTGATAAACGAGATGCAAGATATTGGGAAAATAACAAAGAGAAAAGACTTTATTATATAAGAAATAATATTAATATACTGTCTTCTTCATTATATACATTTATGAATTGTTATTTTCTAATTTCACCGCAATTAATTCAGATGGGGAGTTCATAATAACCAAGTTTTTCAAACATTATACGCCATGGACAACCTTGATCTAAGTGAGTATTATGATTCGGAATACTCTGAAACTGAATCAGAGGATGAATATGTCTATAGTAATAATACGTCTCTCCATTTAAGATACTCTAACTAGTCCAAAGTGGTAATCACCAGCTCAGAAGATTTAGCACAGATTTCTGCACAATAATGTAATAGCTAATCACCAGACAGGGTTTGTGATATATTAATTTTCGCATATTAATTTTAAATATATATGCTAATTAGTACCTCTATTTTTTTTTCCCGAACAAACATGAGAAAAATGTGAAAGGAGGTCTAGTTGCAATACAGGACCTACCTTATAAGTAAATAATGATGACAAAATCATATGTTATGAAAGGCTGAGGGACTCACAATTTTGAGATCGCCAGGCATAAAACCAACTATGTCTTTCCAGTAGATCTACATGTGAAAAAGTATGAGGATTCTGTTTGCATGTGCTTTTATAAAGCTTTTGGTATCATACGACAATGCTAATCACTATTCTTATCTCCTTATCTTTTTCCCAGTAAGATATAAAGCTATAATGGTATGTAGAAGTTCAGCCGACCTTTCTGCAAAAAATTAAGGTATGTATATGTCAAAAGTTGTATATGTATGAGAGCATGTTTTTTCTCACTATGAGTCTTGTAATTAGGAAAGCAAGATATCTGGTACTATTATTACTTTCAATTGTCTTCTTTTACCTAACGAGATAGCTTAAAGATCAAATTTATCAGAAGGAAGTGTTACTACGCTTAAAATCTCTACCGATGAAACAGTTGATCAGTTAAGGATTATTATTAGAGAAAGGTGGCCATCCTTATTTGAAAAGATTCTTCCTGCCAAATTTTTACTCTGGAAGATCGATGATATCAGAGGAGATACAACAATTGAAAGCCAAATTGAAGAATTTACTCGTGAGAGGCGTCAAAATGAAACAGGAATGCCTCCACATGAGTTGATTTCTATCTATTTTTCTCAACAACCCCCTAATGATAGAATTAATATTTATGTATTTATTTAAAACATCATGTAGTGATATAGTCTTGCATAGCGTCCCATTTGACCAATTTTATGTATTGTAGACCGGGTTCTAGAATGTTTTTTATTTCATAAATAAAGTATTATTATTGTACTGTACATAAGAAATAGGTCACATGTAATGGTGCAGTCAATCTAACATTTTTATCTGAGCCAATCTAGCCTATATAAAAAACGTCAGATGATAAGTGAGAAGAGTCTTCACAGTTAAAAAGGCACAGTGATTAGGTGATCATTTTACCTATTATGCAATGTGGCTGATCATACGACAGGCTTGTAAAACAGAATAATTTCTCACATATAGTCTGCCTCAGTACTTTTTTCACAAATAAAATCTTTTTTATTCTTGTTTTCACTTACGCCAGTTTGCACCAATAATATTCCGCAAAAAAATACTATATAAGCTAAACACATATCTATCACTTTACTATGTCTCGTCAAAGGAAATATGACCGCGAACGTCTTTCCTGTCCATATAGAAAGAAGTAGTCTTGTTGGTGATCTCAAGGAGGTTATAAAAGAAAAAATAGATGTTCCAGCTAATTTCAAGGCGAAAGACTTGAAAGTATGAAAAAAGGAAATTTCCAACAATCAGGATGATCTCTTAAGCAATCTTACACTCAATGACGGTGACGAGCTCCTTGCAACAAAAAAGATTTCGAAATACTTTCCTGGCCACCTCCTGAGGAATATATTCATATCATAGTCGAACTGCCAGAGTCCATCACCACTCTGAGCCAAGAGGTATTGGAATTAAGAAAGAAGCTCATCTCGTTGAAAGCATTATTCAGCAAATCCACACATGGTATGTATAAAATAGTTGGAAGAAAGACTTTATGAGAATTTTTCTAACTGACCATTGCATTATAAACTTCGATGTCGTCGTTCACCCGAAATGGAAGCCAAATAAGTGGACCGCAAATATCGAATATGCGATTCTCGAAGGCCTCAAGGTATATATACGCAAGATATATCAACTACCCGCATTTGAAAATGATGGGGCAGAACTTAATTTCATGAATGATGAAGACAAATATTCACCTCAGAACGATCAAAACCTTCATGAAATCCTCCGTATATTCGTGTCAAATAAAAAACTCAAGTTTACTATATTCATCAAAACCATTCAACTCCTGGACCTTCCCCAAAGTGTGTGAGCTCTATAAGCTTAGCGATGATCTGAATCCTAGTATTGATGTCTATTTCATTTTTCAATGCGGTTGTGCTAACACTAAAGAGGAAAAGTATAAAGAAGCGTTGCGTAAACTTTTTGATGAATTGGAAACTTGTGTCATGACAACCCCATTGACGTATTCTATGAGGCCACAAAAAGCATCTATTCCTATTCCTTTCTCACCTCAGCAGTGTATAAAATTTAAGTTAAAATTTATGTGCACAAATTGATTAATTATTACTAAAATAAGAAAATCATAACATTTTCTTATGTAAAATTACCTTTTTTATACATAATTTATCTATTTTTAGTAATAATTTGTGCACATTTTATGTTGTGTAATATGTGCACACAAAAAATTAATGTGCATATGTGCACATTGTGCACATAGATTTTACACACTGTCTACTGGGATTCCTTTAATTATTCCTAAGGGTATCATAATCGTACTATCTACTTCTATAATTTTTGTTTTTGCTGGTTCATCAATTGTTTGTTAATTTGCCTTAAATATCGTTAAGTGATAATACTTCCTACAGATCCAGTATCTACTAAAGCATTTACATCATATCCGTTGATCTTTGCATCAGTAAATAAAGCTTCCTTGACTGGTTCTTCCCGAGTTGTATATGTACTAACAATTTGTTCTCTTAATTTCGTTACAAACAATTCTCCAAATTGATTATGCGTTGGTGTTAACTCATTTAATCCGGCCATCTGTAAATATTCATCAAATCTAAAGTGTTGCCATTCACTATGCTTAGTTGGTTCAGTTCGTTGTAATAACTCATCTTTCAATTTAATTTTATATACATCACAATTATAAGTGGGGTCATTTAAGATATATTCCAGATGTTCTTTATCTAATTGTATTCCTGTTTCTTCAACAATTTCTCTTATTATTGCCGTCATTGACGATTCACCCATTTCTATTTTCCTACAAACTGTTTGCCATAAGTTATACATTTCCTTTTTAGGATCTATTCGTTTTGACAGATAAATTCCTTTGTTATTATATAATATTCCCAATACATACTTAGGTCTCTTTTGTATGGTGATTTCTTTTTGAGAATCTTCAGTTACAATAGGTTGATATTTATTAAATATTCTTTCTTCTACCAGTGGGTCTTT